TAGAGAAAATGGTTTGCACTGTGTCCGTGTAAACACACACACACACAGTCGCGTACAGCTGCTAGCATAGCACACAACCAGATACGAATACATACTTTACAATAGTGTATATACACCAGTGCAAATCATTTTGAAACCGTTCCGCATGCTCCGGGTTGTTCAAAGTATCAAACCAAAAAATGGTTTAATCACTGGATATTTTAAAATATAAGATTCCATTGAATTTAAATAAAAATTAAAATAAGTTACAGCAAAATATTGTAATTTTCACTTAAACTACAGTAAAATACTGTATCGCGTCTGATAGCTAAGTTTTGTTGTAACCCATACAGCAAAAATAGTTTGTGTGTAGCACCAAACATCACAAATTTTGATGATATTCAAACAATTAAGCAGTTTTTTTTTATTCTGTATATTGTCATTTTATTGATAACAATAGGGAACATTTTGTGCAGTGCTACTAATCAAAAGTTATTTTTGATGGTGATTCATAGCCTTGGGTATTGAATTTTGCTGGGTTTCTGCTGTCCTTCGACATAAATCCAAATGCAATGTGCAGTCAATATCATGAATGTCATACCAAACATTGCCGGGTATAATTGATCAGCCAATTCATGGTCGCCCACTGGACTACTCCATATGATAAAAGAAGAAATCCATTTACCGCACAAAAGATTTGCAATGATTACTTCAACTGTGATTGATCGTCGATCTTTTGGTTCAAACTTCATCAGTCGTGTTATCAACAATGAGGCGCAATATATTAGGAATGGCCAGATGAAACCAATCAGAAGCGACTGAAATTGTATTTTAAGTTTGAGGATCAAGGCCAACAAAATTGTAAATTGAAGCCAAAACTTACCTTAGCCATAAACATTCTATATACGTATAAGTCTAAACCGTCTGTTAGATGAACGCAGGTACTGACTACAATTAAAATTGGTGAAAAGACTACTTCCAACAAGAACTTGATGATATTGGTCAAATGTGAAATATGTTGCGTAATCAAATAACCAACACCAAAACCAACGCATAAAGGAACAAATATATAGAAAAAACTATCTTTGCACAATTCAGCGAAAACTTCCATTTCGGGTGGCGAATATTTGAGAAATAATAATAGTATGTTTCCAGCACCTGAAAATTTAAGGAAATTTAAAAGAGTTCCATTTGATTTTTTCTTGGCTCCAACTCACCAATGCTCAACGCAATATTAATCAAATTTGTCAACGAAGATAATTCCATATTTCCCTTCAAGATGACTGCCCACACGAAATAATATCGGATGATCACAATATTTGTTATTCCATCGAAGAATAGAATGAATAAAAATTGATTCAGACCAGAAGCTGGGAATAGAAACAAGTACAACGCCACACTGAACTTGTTTTGCAAAAAATATTTTAATGAAAAAAAATTATGTTTTAAATAAAATCATTTTAAATAGCATCAATTCATAGGACGAGCCTAAAAGTGTCTTTTACATGTATTTATATGCAAAAGTCATTCTCTGAACTTTAGAAGAATCCCCCTACACCAATGTAAGAGGAACTAGAAGAAATGGTTTTTGCATTGGATAAATTTCCACTATTGCAATAGTGTATATATATAATATATACAATTGTATATTAAATAAGGCATGAACCACCACACATTTTTGTTAGTTCGATGTTTATAGGATAGATACAGCGCCATTCAATGTCTGACAACTATACTTGTCCTATGCATCAATTTAAGCTTACCGTGGCGAATAGAAATTTCACGAATAATATGCACGCGGGTCCAATTGGTTTTCTCAAAATTTCCAGCAACTTTTTCGAATCTAAAACCATTCCCAGAATAAAAAACACAAC